GGCAAATTCCAACCCTTTCGTTGGCACAATTCTTGCAGCTTGCATTTGTACATTTTCAGGTGAATTCTAGAATTTTCAGGGTTCTGGGTTTAGAAATACAAATTTATTTGGATATATAGCTATAGTTAAATAAGCTGGGCATCTGCAAAAGAAGGGCCACTTTTCCTTTTTCCTTTTTTCATTTTTTCTTTTCTTTTTCTTTTTTTTACACGTTTGAGTGATGTTAAAGAAACAACTATTAATAACAATTTTTTTTTCTGTTAAATATTTAAAATGCTCTTTATTATACATAAAAAATTCACTTTATAAAATGGATAATTTTTTGGAGATGCTCTTAGATAGCGAAGATAATAACAAATATCGTACTTTGAATAATTGGAGAATGAATGATGGTCTACTGCTACCTAAATTGACAATGATGACACGATGATGTGAGCTAATGATAATAGACTTATTATTTTTAATATTTGGATATTTTATTGGGAGAATTTTGTAGTAGAAAATGAATTTGAGAAAAAAAAAGAATTTTTAAAGAATGTGACTCTAACAAGAGTTTAAATGTGTCACATGCACTTCTAATTTCGATGGTGCTCCGTATATTTCGACATATCACATCTAAACGATACGCATGCATGGACACGAATCTTGATACGTGTTGATCTATGGCCCTATATAAGATACAACAAGAAGATTTTCTTGCAATTGCCAAATATATCCAAAGGCTATCAAAGGAGTATTCGCCATAGCATCGTGGTTCTTCCCTAATTTTGTTGTCCAACTACTTAACCTATGATAGAAACTATGACATTTTAAGTGCCACAAAGATGGGTGATACTGCATAGCATTATTCTTTCATAGACGTGGACAAATTTGAGAAATAAGTGGTAAAAATTACAGATTAGCTTTAGGCTTGGAGCCAGTATTGTTGTGCTTTTAAAAATAATTAACTTTAGTTGTTAAGTATTTGGTGAACTTTTATTTTAGAATAGTTGTTTTATATCAACATTTAACATTGAGTAAACAAAAGTGATTTATGGCTGTATTTATATATAATTAATAAAATGTACAATGATTGTAATAATGTCATTTTGTATTATTATCATTGGTAGGAATGTGAAATTCATTTTTGTTTTATAACAATATGAAATATACATTTTTATGACTGTAGTCACGTGGTTATTTAAAAAATAAATAAAAATAAATAAAATCTATTAAATCGTACAATATGTCAACTTATAAAATAGAA